TTTATTTATTTATTTGCGAATTTTGAAAAGTTCGATAAAAATTCACTCTGCAACTAGATGGAAACAGTCTAGATTCAAATTTTTATGTATTTTTTTGTGAAATTTGAAAAGTTCGATAAAAATTCACTCTACAACTGGATGGAAACACGATGACTGTGTGTGGACCAGAAAACTTTGCCTGAAACGGAGGTTTAATAATAGAGCACAATGCTAAAACCTGATCCCTTAGCAAAAAGGAACGGTTCATGGCTCAACAGTCAAATACAGATGTCACTTTTTTCTTGGCTAGACAGTTTAGCTAAATTACACACTGCATACGGCCTGTGCCTAAAACCCTTCATGTAATCAATCAGATTTTGAGGCATTACTGGATCCTTTCAGTCCTTTACCACAGCTGTTAAGGGACTTTTAATGGTATGTCCAAACACCAGCTCATTCGGGCTAAAGCCTGTGCTCTTCTGAGTAACTTCCCCATGGGACCAACACCAACCAGGACAACCCCAGCTCTGTGCAACAAGCTTGCAGAAGTGATTTTAGCATCTGATGGAAATGCTCCAATGCGCACTGACTTTATGCATGATATGCCATAGACTTGTTATGTTTAACATAGAGTTGTTTTAACACCTGAGAAAACAGATTTGTGACTTGAACAGACTGGATACCAAATACAGAGATAAACTGAGAGAGCCCACGCACCACAGATTTTGCTGTTATTGTGCGTAAAGGAAGCAGCTGGGTAGCGTGTGCTTTGGCACATGCCAGTAAGCAAATGGCAAGCTCTGGACCTTGACTTTGGTAGGGGAATTACATAATCAATAATAATTAGGTGCTGAAATGTTCCTGATGCAACTGGAATTTGCAACAAATTAAACAGTTTTAAAGTTTGATTTGGTTTGGCAGTTATCTAGACATACATGACATGTCCTAACATAGGTGGACATTTCCCTCTTCAGACGAGCCCAGAAAAAGTGCCTAAGAACACGAACATGTTGTTTTTTAATGCCAGCACATCCAGACTCGTGCCACTTTCAACACTGCATGAGAAAACTTCCAGGGAACAACCACTTGAAAAACAGAATTTTCAACAGAACCAAAATGTGGCACATTTCCTACCTAACAGCGAGTCTTAGAGGAAGTAACCACACACAGGTCGACACAGGCGCAGCAAAACCAGCACCTTTCGGCTTGGAATGGAGTTGATTTAGATATCCAATGACAGCTATCCAATGACCATGTTTATGACAATGAATACATATTTCTTTTTACTTAAGGGCTTAAACAACCAAAACTGTTGCTTCGCCGATTTTCTCCATTGGAACCACTAATCTGAGACGACAAAAATTGTCACTTTGCCCATTTTTGACCGCCATCGCTGAGGCAGGGAGCATAAAAATGTTTTGTCCTACCATGATGGGGGACATCAGTGATGGTTGGCACCCAGTTCTATTTTGTCTTCATTGAACCACTCACTTTTGAAAATTGGGATGACTTCTTAACACATTAGTGTACTAGTTTTATGACATCACTTTAGTCCCACACACTCAGAGCAGAAACCTATAGAATAATTTGCTGACTCATCTACATTCTTCTCACGGTTACCAGGTGGTCGGAGCGCCATTGAGCTGTGAGGGTCACCCAACACTGCCTGCAGCTACATATATATTCATATTTGACTAGCAGAATGTGTCTCTACACTGTTGTTCCTAATAATAGTAGTAGAAATAATCAAGTACTAAAACTGTGTGTGTGGGGTAAACTAATGTAAGTGAATGCATGTATATTTATACATATGTAACAATGTAGACATAGACATAATGTAATCACAATCCCCTCCAAAAATATTAGATTAAAACAAACTGAAACAAACTAAAAATTTACAATTTCAATAAGAGATTTTGTTTCAGATTTCCTTTTAGAAGTTGGTTATTTTTAGATAAGAAATTTTGAATGAATTACAAGCCATTTCCTGCCTTCTGGTGTAGTTTAACAGGTTGGTAAACATATTTTACGTACAAAAATAAACACTTGATATGAGTAATCTATCAATAAAATGGAATTGATTCATTCATGCAGGAATAGAAAGGGCACTGGGTGAATTAAAGGTACATAACTCCTATGGGTTATGTTTTCTTTTCTCTAAAAAAGTTTAATTACCCTATTTATTCAAAGATAACACGTAAAATTAAATCCATAAAATGATCCATAAAGTTGGGGGGGGGGGTAGTACTATACTCGTATAAATATTTTTACTTATGTATTTTAACTGAAATATCGGCTTCATTCACAAAATGCCTGAGTCTGGAAATGAGACCACGCCCTAAAAATCAGTTGAAACGAGCTCACATCTGACACTCCTCTGTGCTTCATAGTGAGATAATAACAGATCCAGGCAGGAAACATGATGTGGAAAAAAAGGGGAAAAAAGCAGTCCTGCACCTTAGTAATGATAACAAACTAATGACATTAGTGTGTGACCGAGCTGCTCCTGGAACAACAATAAACACATGTTCATCTGTAATGGCTGCCGTCTACCGGTGTTCTGAAAAAGTTTGTATCCCTGAAAAAAGTTTCCCCACCAGAGGGGGCGCTCACGAGTAGGAAGTAATCTGCTTTTCCCCCACAAGATGGTCCAAATCTCATGGAAAGTCTCTGACTTTTGTGTTGGCGCATCCTGGTGGACCTCCTTAGCTCCTCTTTCGCAGAGTAGTTTTTTGTGCGTATGCTCATGTGTTTCTCTGTATGAAACACAGGATCAAAGCTCTTTTTTTAACTCATCCTTCCTATGTGTGTGTGTATGTGTATTCTAAACTGCAAAGGTAGCGCACGATGTTGCGAAGGACCCTGGACATTCGTYCCCCCATGTTTGTCACGTGTGTGTGTGTTTCTCCGGACAGGTGTTCTAAACTGCAAATTCATTGTGTGTGTAAACATACTTGTCCAATAAACCTGATTCTGATTCTACTGCATGTGTAAAATGCCAGAATTCATATGATGCTGCTAGAAAGCTCAAAATCATAGTTTGCTGATATATATATTTGTTGTCAAAATACCTTTTAGTACATATGTTGTTAAAATAAAATGAACAGTCCAATGATCATTTTACTGATATGTATAAAGATTGCAAAGGATGAAAAATATTCAAGTCTGAATGAAATTGGAGGTAGTTTGAGGATCAAATTTTTTATGCTTTTTAAGCTCACAAAAGGGGGGTCGTATTATACATGAGATCATATTATACATGAGATCATCTTCTACATGAGGTCGTATTATACGTGAGGTCATATAATACATGAGGTCGTATTATACACGAATAAATAGGGTATTTACAAGGAACAAGTTTTGAAAACGAGAAGAAATAAATACACAGGAGGTGCCAAATTTCTTTAAATAAAAGGATATATTTAATTGTCCTCGATCGCAGAGGCAGGGGATATATAAACACTCTCCTTCCGTCTGTCCATCTGTTCACCTTGTAAGATGATTTAAATAATGAAGGTGGTGATTCCAACAAAACTGATAACTGTTGGTCAATACTGAATGGCGACGGGCGGTATGGAGTTCTACCTTGTTCAAGTGAACAAAACTATTGGAACATGTGACTGACAGGTGTTTCTTGTTTACCAGGTGTTGCCTTTAAGTTTGATTGTTCAATAAATAAATAACTCTGAATGACTAGTCTATTGTTTGGCCTGGGTTTAAATCTATGGAGTGGGTATTTCTTGTTAAAGAGGATCCAACATGAAGCCATGAATGGTGGCTAGACAAGGTGAACCTGTGATTGGAAGGTTGCCGGTTCAACTCCTTGGAACAACCAGCCCAGTCCAGAGTGGGCCCTTGTGCAGGCCCTTGAGAGTGGGGACCCTTAACCCCTCGGCTACTCCCCGAGTTGCCTCAAAAATGGCAGCCCACGTGTGTGTTCAGATGTGCGATGGGTAAATTGCAGAGGATTAATTTCAGTAAAGTATATAAATAAAAAATTGCTAGATTTTTTCTTTTGTGTTTATGTGTGTAAAACAGTTGACTTGGAGTTTAGAAATATTCCTTTTAGTGAGCTCTTTTCTGTAACTTCCTGTTTGTAATTCCTCTGTCCACTGTAGTTTGTCTCCGATTCCCTATCAGCTCTGCTCTGCAGCTGTTTCTGCTGTGTCACTGCACTTGATTTTTCTACTGAGTTTTGATCTTTCCTGTTGTCACCTGAGTGAAATACTTTTTCTGTTTGCTTGTAGGAGGTGGAGCGCATCAACAGAATCGTGCAGGAGTACCAGAAGAAGAAAAATGTGAGGACACTGTCTAATATTAAACATGTTTGTACATACAGTTTATTTTGTGACCTTGTCGCAGCTATATACCGTATTTTTCGGACTATAAGCCGCACCCGCCTTTTAAAAAAAAAACCCGCGAACATTAACATATAAGCCATACCAGACTATAAGCCACACCCCCAACATTAAGAAAAAAATAACCCAGTACACCCAAAATTGTTGTCAAAAAACTGAATTCAACATCAAAACATAAAAAGCAAACCTTTAGGAATTAAAGTTGGGAGGAATACGGTTCATTTAACTGACCTTATTTTGGTAGTTTTCTTTAACAGTTTCTGGTCCAACAAAACGTCTCATTCATCTTCCTCCAGCGCACTGAAACCATCGAAGTCCTCCTCTTCAGTGTCGGAGTTAAACAAGCTGAGAAAAGCTGCGTCACACAGCGGTATCTGTTCATTGTTGCTTTCTGTGTCGCTGTCCTCCCGGGGTAATGCTGGCTCTGGAGCGGCATCATAGGAAGATCTTCTATTCTTTTCCATGATGAGCGCATTTGAATTTGAAGAGAAATATTTCGTCGTGTCTGTCGAAGATTAATCCCTCGTGTCGTGTCTGCTACTAGCTAAAACAAAATGGCGCTTTTGTCTTCTTCCTTTTATTCGCGGCAACCACACCTCCGGCTAAAGAGCCCCCTGGTGGCTGAAGAAAAAAATCCACATATAAGCCACTCCGGACTATAAGCCGCATGGTTCAAAGTTCAGGAAAAAAGTCACTGCTTATAGTCCGAAAAATATGATGTCTCCATCCACCTAGACTTATGAAGTGAGAATGTCCTAAAAGAAAACTGCTACAAACACAGGGTTCCTACACTGTCTAGAAAAGTGTTGAATTTGCATTTAGTAGTTTTGGGGTCCTAAAAGGTCTGTGGAGAAAAAAGAATGGACAAATGTAGCACACTTAAAGTGGACCAGTTTGAAACAGGCACTAGACATCTACTAGGTTCTGCCAAGAGTGATGACAGGTCACACTAACTGGAATGAGGGTATTTCTCTGTCAAATCCAAATCACATTTTGTCAAATTTTTATGATAAGTTGGAGACAATACRGGAAAAATATATTTCAACTTGTAAAGTTCCAGTCCTGAAAAATAAAACTCCATGGTTGAATGCCTCTATAATGCATCTCCTAAAGTTTAAAGCTTCTTCAATGAAAACTTATAGAAWATCAAAAACTTCTGAAAATCAGTCTCGTTTAAACAGTTACTGAAATAAATGTGTTGCTGAATTACACAAATCCAAACAACAATATTTTAAAAATCAAATTATTTCAGCCAGTAAGAATCCAAAAATATTGTGGGAAACGATTAAATCAGTGACAGGTGAAAGTAACAATAAAACATTTAATAACAATTCACAAATCTCAGTAAATGGACTTCTTGTTTCTGATCATGAAAAAATTGCTAACTTATTTAATGAATATTTTATTTCTTCAGTAAGGACATCATTACCGGGACAAGCTCTCTGCCCTTCCAGAGTCCCTGAGAGCCCCACAAGG